CCTTCACGATAGCCAAGCACAAATTGAAATATCTAGGAATATATCTGACTAAAAGAACAAAAGACCTATATGAGGAAAACTACAGAATGCTATTATAAGAAACCAAGAGTAACCTCAACAAATGGAAGAATATCCCATGCACATGGATAGGAAGACTCAATATAGTGAAGATGTCAGTTCTGCCCAAGGCACTATATACTTTTAATGCAATCCTGATACAATTACCCTCATCTCTTTTCAAAGAAATGGAAAAATTGATTACCAACTTTAAATGCAGAGGGAAGAAGCCCAGAATTAGCAGAGAACTCCTCAAGAAGAAGGACATAGTGGGAGGGCTTTATTTACCTGACTTTAGCACATATTATACAGCCACAGTTGTCAAAACTGCATGGTATTGGTGTAATGACAAATACTCAGACCAATGGAAAATAACTGAAAACCCAAAAATAAAATCATCAGCATACAGACAACTGATCTTTGATAAGGGCCCCAAAATTATCCAATGGGAAGCAGATGCCCTCTTCAACAAGTGGTGCTGGAAAAAATGGATATCTACCTGCAGAAAAATGAAGCAAGACCCTTAGCTCACTCCATGCACAAGAATAAACTCAAGATAGATCATAGACCTTGAAGTAAAACCCCAAACTATTAGGGCCATCAATGAGGGCATTGGGACCAACTTGAGAACTTTTGCACAGGGTATACATAGGCTATCAGAAATAGGGAAAGACACAAACACAGAAGAGGCACAAATTGAAAAGTGAGATATACTGAAGATAAAACTCTTGTGTACATCGAAAGAATTCACAAAGAAAGTAATAAGAGAGTCCATGAACTGGGAAAACACCTTTAGCTATGACACATAGACAAAGGCATAATTACTAAAATCTATAATAATCTGCTAGCTTCCAAAAAGAAAAAAACTAATTGCCCACTGAGGAGGTGGGCAAAGTACCTGAATAGAAGTTTCACAGGGCAGAAATCTGAATAGCCAATAAACATATGAGAAAATGTTCCCGGTCTTTAGGCATAAGAGAAATG